CGTCATGGAGGGCAGAGCTGGCCTGAGCTGAATGCCCTGTCCAGTGGATAGCAATGCAAAGACACAGGGACACACTGACAGCAGGCTGAGTTTTTGCGCTCCACCAGTGCTGCCCCCTCCCCCAGGCCTTGGTTTTGGCCCTGGCCTCTATGCCCTGGACATTCCTCTGGGACACAGCTCAATGTGTGCCTTCTGTTCCCTACACATGCAGTTCTTCACCCCAGGTACACAATGCTCAATGACCCTCACCCAAAACTATCTGTTCCCAGTTCCTTCACGATGAGTATCTGAGTGAGTAGTCAGGACCACAGGAGGTAAACCAGCATCCCCATGGAGCACATCATGATCCAGGACACTCAGGAGATCACAAGAATATACAGGGGAGATGGAGTCCCCATGCAGGGTGACAGTGGGCTGTGGGGGTCCAGTTTCTGATCTGCCTTCAGGCTGGAGTCCTAGCCACACTCAGTGACTCACTTCAAGCCCAGGTGTGTCTTAAGGCCCCAGGGCTCATGCTTCTGCAAACAAAAGAGGTGAGGCTTCTGTCCTGCTGGCCTTGCCCTCACAGGCCCCTGGCCTTGCCCTCACAGGCCGTGCCTTCGGAGTAGGCATTTATGTGTGGTTCACTGTGAGATTCCAGGCATCTGTGCCTTGGGCCTGGTGGCCTTTTCTGTCCCTCTCTCATCAGACGTGTAGCAGCAGTCCAGAAATCAATATGTGTTGTTGCATTGGGAAAAATCTTTTGCCAAGGACCTCTTCAAAGTGCTAAAGAGCAAGGATGTCAGTTTAAAGAATAAGGTGCTCCTGATCCACTCCATGGCCCTTTCAATTGCTTCCTATACGTCTGAAGGTTGGACAGTAACTAAAGAAGACCAAAGAAGAATCAATGCTTTTGGATTGTGTTGGTGAAGAGTATTGTATGGACTGCCAAAAGAACAAACATATGTCTTGGAGAAAGTGCAGCCAGGGTGCTCTTTAGAATAAGACAGCTGACACGTCATCTCACACTCTTTGGACATGCTGTCAGGAGGGGCCATCATGTCAGGAAAGACATCATGCTAGAGAAGGCAGAGGGTCAGAGAAGAGGGTCAGAGAAGGAGGGAAGGTGCCCCACAAGATGAACTGACACGGTGACTGCAACAATGGGCTAGGACGTATCAGAGATCGTGGGGACTGTGCAAGATAGGACAAGGTTCAGATCTGTTGGTCATCGGGTCGATGCGAGTGGAGTATGATGGCACCTCACAACAACCACCATCTCCTCAAAGCTGTGTTGGCTCCAGGAGGGTCTCTCCCTAGAGGGCTGGGGAGGCCCCACCAGCATGTAGTTCAAGAGAGTGGCCAGCAGGTGGCGCTCCTGCGGCTGGCGCTGTTGCGATGGGACAAGGCGCATGTCGTCGCCCTTGATAAAGTTGTCACACCAGCAAGATGAGATTTGGACTTTTTCCAAAGTCATGGAGGTGCAAGATCTTCCGTAAATGAGAGCCTACGGGCTCTTTCCTGCGCAGGCTCCCATGTGGTTTTGTCGGGTGCCATCGAGCCACTTGACTCACAGCGACCCCGGGAGCCCTGTGACAGGTTCCCGCAGCGCTTCGTGATTAAGGGGCCGCAGCTGAGCTGGGGTTCGGGCACCATCAAATCCCGAAGAGCGGCTGGCCCCTCCTCCCTTAGAACAAGCGCAGTGCTGTTGTGACGGGAGGGGACACTAGCTGTCTTTGAATCCAGCTGCAGGTCAGGAACCCATGGCTGTGGCCCAGAAGTCCCTGCCCCTGAGCGTGGTCAGCCCTGCGAGTTCTGAGAGGCACCCCCACCCAGGCTTCAGCCTTGGGGGCCTCTGCCAAGCAGC